TATATATTATTATATATATATTATATAATATCCTAAATGCATTATTAAAGAGTTTAGTGCCATGTTAGCAAAGCGCTACCTGGCTGTATCTGCTACCTCTGTCCCTAGCGAGAGGGTGTTCTCCACAGCAGGAGATATTGTTAGTGCCAGCAGATCTGCCCTTTCGGCAAGCAATGTGGACAAGTTCATTTTTCTTAAAAAAACATGAAAATACAATGACAAGCAAGTCCTAATGTCAAGCTGGCTGCTTAGGTGAGTACTAGTACAGTAAAGTTCAAATACAGATTATTTCAGTTCATCGAAATGCTGCACCTTAAATTTTTTATTATATTTTGTATTTATTTGAGTGAATACATTATTCACAGTTTAATAATAATAAAAAAATATATATATATATTTTAGATTTTTTGATAATTTTTTCTGCTGTACTGAAAACGTACCGAACCGAACCGTGACCTAAAAACCGAGGTACGTACCGAACCGAAATGTTTGTGAACCGTAACACCCCTAGTGTTTTCTGAATGGAATCGGATCGATCAGGCTAAACTCACCTGTAGCTGCTCCGACCACACTCACAACAACGTCATACAGACATAAATAAACCAGCGACTGTATTCGTCCATTGCACAGACAGTCTGTGGTTTGTACTTCTTTAACTTTTGTCCAGTTTCTGAACAGATATGAGGAGCTCTGTGTGCTAACAGCTAACGGCTGATGTTGTGCTGTCGGGTGCTGACCAATCAAAAAGCGTAATTTCTTGACTGGCAGCGAAACAACCAATCACAGCAGTGCTTCTCCGGCTGGCTCTGTCCAATCACAAACAAGAAGTGTTCTCCCTAAATGAATACCCTTTCCGTAATTTTTGAAATGCTGTAGTGTTTTCTAAAATGCTGTGGTGTTTTGTGAAATGCTGTCGTTTTTTGTGAAATGCTGTCGTGTTTTGTGAAATGTTGTTTTGACTTGCACTTCAGGGCCACCATAGATATTGGTTGTTAATGTTGATTAGTAGTCTGCAGGTTTTGATTATAGGATCCACTCAAGTTCATGATTAAGTTTCTTAATCCTATGACAAGTGTGGCTGCACAATTTCTGGAAAATAAATCACTAATTGTGATTATTTTGAAAATATGGCTCACGACACTGGAAGGATAGATACTTTTTGCTTTACTATTGTGATTATAATTGAAAAATGTATTTCATTTGATCATCTGTACCTAAAAAATACATTGTATTAGGTCTGTAGAAGAATACAGATTGTGGGCCGGGACAAGTATGTAGCACCACAATCCCTAATATGGAAAAAATATTTAAACATATTTTACCTCTAACAAATATTGTTGCTCCTGCATTTTCAATATTGAACTAGCCTATATTGTAATTACAATTAAATGTTGGTTAACTGCGCAAACCTATTTCTTAAAAAATATATATGAATTACAATTACAATATTTTAGGTGTGGGGAATATATCACTCAACCTTGGGATTTATTGGCATTGCAGAAGCCATTGGAAATGTGTCAAATTGAAATATTGCCTTACTAACCAAGTTCATTATAATAGAACATCAACAAAGTTGTGTATCTTACCTAAAACAGGCCTGCCAATGCAATTTGACATTCAACTATTTATCCTGAAAGTGTTATTAGGATATATCATAAAAAGGTGATGGTATGGTATGTCATGGCAAAATACACAATTAAAAAAGATCATAGTCTGGCAAAAAAGGGCTATAAAAAGTCACATAATATGCCATAAAATGAAATACAAAAGTCAAAGTATATATCGTCATAAAAAAGGCAAGACATATGTAATTGAAGAAATGCACAGTGTATAAATGTTATACAAATGCATTATATAATTTTTTTTATTTGAAAAAGGCACAGAATAGAATGCCATAAAACGGCATTAATGTGTTATTAAATAAAGTTATAGCATTATATATCTTATTTTTTTTAAAACAATAGTATGAGGCTCTGACACCGAGTTTTGCCCCAGTGTCGGGTGATATTTCTACCTGCACCTCAATTGCTGTCTGCCGGTAAGCATCTGTGAATTCCACACTAGGTGTACAGTCTCAGATCACCAATAGGTGTCAGTTATCTCCTATCTATTGCATCCGGAAATAAATTCACATATACGATTCCCTTTCAACTTTAAGCTAAAACAAACTTCTGACAGGCAGCCATTGGTTTGAGAGCTGTGTACAGGTATACGTTCGTGGTTCTTAGCGTTAATGGTGAAAAACTCACCTATATGTGTGTCCGTCTGCCCGTGTGGTCCAGGCACCTGTACGCTTATCTGTCTGTCTGGTTGCGGAATGCATTTCAGGCAAAAGGAGTGCAGACAAGGCAGAAGTTTTGGATCACAGTTTCGGCTCTGAAGACTTTGTTTACACACTGCGCACGTATCCAAAAAATTAAAGGGGGTCGATACCGGCGCGCCCGCTGGAGCAGTAGCAGGGGGGGACATTTCAGTGCTGGGTCCGCCAACAGGAGCATCCACGGCGGGCAGGGTTTCAGCTGCCGTCGGCTCAGCATTGGTGGTGCTGGTCTCCGCTGGGCTGTTACTAGTCCTACCGTTCGCTTCCCCTCCCTCTACAGCAGCCCCGCCGTTGCTTACGTCCCCGCCGTCGCTTGTGGGTGTCGGTGCCTCGTTCGCGGTATCCTGGGACTCTGTTTCTTCGCCGACTTTTGTGTTCGCTTCTGGAAATATTACTGCACTTTCCTCTTTTGTTTCTGGCTGCTCGTTATCTTGCGCTGAAGGCACGGCGTCCGAGTTTGCAGACGATTCCATATCATCCTCGCCTTTGTTATCCGCCATCTTCCTTCCTCTTTGAACCGCTGCAACCACGTACTGCGTAAATGTTCGGAGCAGGAATACGTACGATTACGTCATGACGTCAACCAAGATCCGACTTTTATTAAGTTGTTATCTTTCGGATCTGTTTGCATTTTCCTCACAAAAAGTATAATAACGATTATATAAGTGCTATGTTTTTAAATAATTACATTGTAGTGGAATTGCTTAACTATTTCTTTTCTGATTGTATCCATTTGAGTGCAACAATGTTAACAAAAAGTAGTTCTGAACGTGCAATTACAATTGTTACAATTGCATGGCACATTCATTGTATCTTAAAGCTAAATAGCCCTACAAGACATTCTGTTCCATAGGTGTTATCATAGGTTTTGATACAGTAATCATTTTTATTTGTTTAGTACTTTTCAGAACACACAGTATTTAAAAGGCGTGCAATGTAATACAAAAGTGTTGGATAAAAAAAAAAAGACAAGGCCCAAAACTCTCAGGAAACTGTTTTAGGGGACATATTATGCAAACGTTAAGTTTCAAACAAAACACAACATTAATCAAACTGTCTTTCTGAATTTACCTGAATGCACTCTAAATACCCAAATGTGCTTGTGCACAAGCAGCACTGAAAACGTATGTTTATATATGGATTCATTCATTCTATGGACATGGTTGTTGCATTGTTCATTTGCATGTTGTTTCATATTCCTATGGGAATATAACGTTTTTTGGGGGCGAATTAAAACATGGGTTGAGTTTTACCACGCTAAGTAGAGAGGCACAATACTTATCCACAAAGGTAAGTATGTGGAATGTTTAAATAGGATCAGGATTTGAAAAAAACAAGTATGATCAAAACCTATATTTGTTATAAATAAAATTAATGAAAGTCTTGATATCACAGCATATTGCTTTTTTATCTTTCCCTAACCCCACAGGAAGAGGAGAATGAGGGAGGGGTGGTGTGTGTAGTTGGCACAGCTGGCTTGCATCTGGCCCCCAGTTCTGTCAGCGATTACATCACCTGCTGTGAAATTAAAATATGTATAATTTAAAATCAAAACTAATTTAGTTTAAATGAATGAGTAAACTGTGTACATGTTTATATCAGCTTCACAGCTTTAGAGTTGGAGCAGACTTTTTCTATTAATTTTGATTGCATTAGTAACGGAAAACATTAACCAACATGGATTAGCTTAATGAACGCTAATTTGTAGAATATGGAGAGTATTGCCCTTGCCCTTAATGTTAGGGCTGTGGTTCTTTGCTGAGTCTGTACCCACTTGTGAAAATGGTTGTTTCCCCATGTTCCTAAATGAGGAAGTAGGATGTTTTGTAATGTTTCTTTGACAGTCATATACTAAAAAGTGTCTGTGTGCGGTTTAGTATTAGGGCCGGTGGCACTTCTGCAAGAATGCAGAGAGAAGAGGATGCATAAAAGATAAGTAAATGGCACAGATGTAGCTCTTCCTTGGATAATTAACTAAACTTAAAAAAACTGAAACGTTGACTTAAATTAAATGTATTATGTCAACCGATTTCACAAAACTGTATTATGTTAGTTGAAAGCAATAATATTAGATTTAAATTAAGAATATAGGTTCATCTTTATTTATTTCAACTAACCTAATACAGTTATGTGAGATTTGTTGACATATACATTTAATTAAAGTAAGCGGTTCAGTTTTTTCAGTGTACTAACAGTTTTGACAAAACTTCTCAATGTGTCTTTTTGTTTTTGGAGGGCCTTTTTGATTAAGAGGGGGGCTTTTTTTACAGTGTAAATGTAAGATATATGTTGTATTTCCTTTGGAAATGTTGCTTTTCAGCACAAAGACAAACATAAAAATACACAGTTGAGTGTAATGATAATAATGTCCATCCACCAATCAAACAAATTAGGACTGGTGAGTCTTGTGTTTGCTGGACAACAATGCCCATCTCAGTTGGATCCAGCTCAAATAGAAAAGCCCGTAGAAGGTGCTGATGATATGATATATATGATGATATATATGATATATATAAAATATAGTTGATGGAAAGTTAAATGAACTTTGAAATGCTTTGATTGTGTTTTCATCACTTCTACAGTAAAAAAGCAAAATAACAATATGGGTTCACATAGAGGTAGTTACATTCCAGTCCACTAGATGTCAGCAACAAAACAACCACTACCTGTCGGGATTTATTTTGAAGGTCCAGACCGGAAGACCTTTATTTAAATTGGCCGGAGTGTTATTTCTATAGATAAAACAGGCAACAATTAAACAAACTTTACAATATAGACTGATTAAAAATGGCCGGGACGGCTTCAGTAGCTGGTGAAGTGTTTGTCGATGCCTTGCCATATTTTGACCAAGGCTACGATGCAGCAGGTGTGCGAGAAGCGGTGAGTAAACAGGAATAACAGCAGCGTGTTAGCTAACCATGCTAACCCAGGTGGACAAGGCACACTGTATGGCTCAATTCACGTTTCAATGGGATACTTTGCTGTTAGAATCTACAGCTCTAAGAGTTCCCATAGTAAGCTATAGGCCTACCTATGTTTAGCATGAATTAATTATTAAGCCAACGATAGGTAACGTTAGTGTTTTAATCTAGAGTATAACTTCCGGTAGTAAGGAGCGTAGGCCTACTATTAGCATTGGTAAAGACTGTTGTAAACAATTCTCGCTCGCAAATAATTAAATGTTTATTTAAAAAAAAAAAAAACCTTAGACCATAAGTTAAGATTGTCTTTGGTGGTCGCAAATTGTCTTAATGAACAGTTTATAAGTAACTATATGTAACATTTGGATATCCTACCACAATAAGTCAATGACTAAAATACAAATGTAGTGCAAAACCATACACGCACGTGCAGTAACACAATGTACTAAAAATGGTCAAATAATTCTGTCAATATTTGTACACAGGACCCTCCTGGCCCTTCCTCACATTATTGCCAAAGTTGGCTCTGAATTGTTATTCCAATCTTCCCAAAATTAGGGTTATTGGAAAATGGTTAAAAAGTGGTGGCATTTTCTAAAACTGAAAGAAAATGTAATCTGCTTGCAACATCTAGTTAAACATCACCTGTATCAGAGTATTTTTAAACGATAGTTAAAACTGAAGAAATGGGGTCGGTGTAGTGCTTTGCCTGTATAAACATACATGTCTCTATGTAATTTGTTCTCTAGGCTGGAGCGTTGGTGGAAGAGGAGACCAGGAGATACAGACCAACGAAGAACTACCTGAGCTACCTCACCATACCTGACTTTGCTACTTTTGAGGTGACAAACTCCTCCGAAATGTTTTTCAAAGCTTCGGCCAGTGTAACAGAAATAATAGTTCTTCTTTTCCCTTCTCACCCATTAGACAGAAATTATGAGGAATGAATTTGAGCGGCTGGCGGCTCGGCAGCCAATGGAACTCCTGAGCATGAAGAGGTAAAACCCTACACACCGCAGCAGAACGCCTGCATGTCTCTATGGCCACCTAATAATAAAGTGTTAAGGCACTGCTATTATTTCAGTGATGGATATGTTATTTTTTACACGGTCAGCTTTTTAAATATGTTCAATATTAGCCAACTGGGCTCTGGCTTCAGACAGAGGGTGAAAAGAGGTGCTGGAGTATGAGGAAACATAAACACCCTTTTGAACATTGAAGCATGTAAACATGTGCCAGAGACACAAAATACAAATATAAACCTGAAAAATAGCATAGAAGGGCCCCTTTTTATTATGTTAATCTGCTCATTTTATTTGCCTTTTATTCACATCCTGAAATTAAACTACTAGGTAAACTTATCTGTATCAAACCAATAAGTGAACTAATTTCATGGAACACAAATCAACACTTGAGTTTAAAAAACTTAAACAAAAGCAACAGTGTAACATCATACTTATTTACTAAATTCAGCTAATGTGACAATTTTATTTTAGCAGAAATAGGGGATTTTCTTGTAATTTCTAAAACCAACACTTAGATCAATTTGTGTATATCACATTGTATACACTAAAAAGGATATAAATACCAACAATGTACAGGTGCACTTGTAACTTAGACAAATGGTGGGTGTATTTTTTATTAAATTGACTTTTTCATCAATGTTTTTGCTCTGTGGCTTTAAATTATGTAAATTATTGACAGTTTTTTTCTTCTCTTGTGAAGATATGAGCTTCCAGCACCGTCAGCCGGACAGAAGAATGACATCACAGCCTGGCAGGAGTGCGTGAATAACTCAATGGCCCAGCTAGAGCACCAGGCGGTCCGAATTGATAACCTGGAGCTCATGTCGCAGTACGGAACCAACGCGTGGAAAGTCTACAACGAGTAAGAGACGGCAGTCGTTTCTCTGACATTAAAGAGCAACTTGCAGGGTTTTTTTTTTCTACATTTATGCTTAACCTTGCTTGAAAATTACAACTAAAAAAGTTAATGCAGGATTTGATATGTTTTACAAGACGTAAGGGCAGGAATTCAGAGGAAAAGGAGCCGTTTTGAGCTCTGTACTAAAAACTGCTTTTTTTTAACGTCAAACGCGTCATATTACGTCACATGGGGGAGCAACTTTCTCAGACTCCTTCTCTGCCCAATCCGCGGTAGTAGTTTGTAGTTGGTTTGAGCAGTTGTGATTTAGTGAGCTGGTATATTTTAGGTAATTTTATATTGCATTTCACCATTTTTAATCATGGTGAGCTGGAGTTTGTGCAGCCTGCACAAACTCCAGCCTGTCAGGACATCAAGTCCACAGTTTCCCTAACAGGAAAAGGACCAGAGCTAGCTTTCATTCTTAGGTGCGTTGTGCGAGGTGCATCCACCTCCCTGCACCTCTCCACAGCTGAAGCCTATCAAACAAAACGTTTATCAGGAAACCGTATTACATCTCTCTCCCTCCCTTCGCTGCTCTCTCTCTCCCCTCCGGTACACAGCACCGTAGTAGTGTGGAGTTGCATTAGGTAACGCTGTGGTGGCTGCACTGCTCCAGCCGTCTCCTGTGTGTTTGTTTGTTTCCCCCTTTCTGTGTTGTTTGTGTGGACGTGGTGGCTGTCGCTCCCGGCTCAACCTCGACTCACCTGCTTCAATCAGCTGTGCACTAGTGCTGTAGCGAAGCGTCGACATCGATGCGTCGACTTCAAAATATCGTCGACGACATATTTCCTTGTTGACGCATCGCCACACACACGTGGGTCACCCAAAACAACAACAAGCAGTTCGCAATCGCACTTTAAACACTGGAGACTGAAACGGCTACCACCTCCTCCTCACAGGATTGCGCACGAAGCCCTGCAAAAAGCCCCCAAACAAAAACATCTCGCCCTAGGTCTTTCAAATTGAATTTATTGAAATCTCCAATATCAACAGAAGAGCTTGTTCGGGGGGTGCTAACACTTAACCGTTTACTTTCTCCGTCTTTATATGTAGATATCACTTTTCTCCATTAATCTCCGTCACGTTGTTTCCATAGCAACAACAACTTCCTGTCAACAGCGCTACACAAGCTAAATATTTTTTGTATTACAATGAGTTTATTTAGGTTTTTTGTAATGATAGTACCTGTTTGACGCGTGGTCGAATTGCACGTCGGGGACGGACCTGTAACGAACGGAGGCAATCAACTGTATCGAACTATGATATTCCGACTGATTTGCAATCAGAATCAAACTAGCATTTGCTGGTTTGTACTCAATCGAGAGATACACGTCAAACAAGCAAGCCCAATCATCGCCGATCTATCGCCACAAAGACGTCTGCATTTGATCGATGGTAAGGTAGGTTGTAATTTCGACTGTTGCAATTGATTGTGTGTCGACCGCGGCGATCGATTGTAATTGATGATTGGTTGGTTCGTGCTTGTTTTGGCGTTGCCTCTCGATATTTTAATCAATCGTGATTACTTCACGCGTCTTCGAGTTCGACGTGGTTGTGTGAACCCGACAAGGATAAATACTTATACGAAAATAAA